ATATCTTGGGGAGCTGAAAATGTGTCAAAACCCAGCCTTTCGGTGAGAAAGAACATTTAGTAGCTATCTGCAGAGATGAATTTACATCCAAACTCTTTGGAGCTTAAAAATTCACATCATGAGACCAGCTTTTAGTGGAATTAGGACCAGACCTGACATGCCCCAGTTTCCCCAAGGTTACTTTTTGAAATGCAGCTACACTTAAAATATTTCCAGAGCTCATCTCACACTGCAGAGGAGCGAGCAAAGCCTACCTTCTAATTTTACTGCTTCAGGTTTTTTTATAAGAAATTAACTTCAACAGTTTTTTAGTTGATTGACAAAAGGAATTTTGCATTAGACTGCAGGTTGAAAGTGGCAGTGAGCTGCTGCTACTTTTATAAAGTCACTGCATGGAGAAAAAAGTTACTGAAGCTTTCTAAAGCAAACTTTGTGAAACACCAAAATCACAGAATGAAACCAGAAGCAGCTCAGGAGTTTGCTAGGGACGTTTCAAGTTAATAAAATTCTAAATTAAATGGCTGCCGCTTAGGTTTGCCAAAAAATTATGCAAATTCCCAAAGTTCATACATAGTAATTAGCACAGCAAAAAAGCAGGTCCCAAATAAGTGATGAAGTTAGCCTCGCTCTTATTTTTCCAGCAGATGGAAATAGCTATGTGTGAAGATATCTTTTTTTTTTTTTTTTTGCTTTTGCAATTGGAGATTAAACACATTATCCTGAATATCAACTCTGCAAGTACAGCATGTTGGATACACGCACTCATGGAAGCAGGAATATGCCAAAGTCAGTCTGAATCCTTCTCTTCCATCATTCTAAACAGGACCACTGAAGAGGCTGGAAGGGGGGAGGGTTTGCATATTTAAGACTTTCATTTTTCAAACTGACTGCTGACAGTTTAGTTGAGACAAGTTCTCTCAAAGTACACCTAGAGTTAATAGTCCAAACAGGTTTCTCCAAAGAAAAAATGTCTGCCTCGACTAAAAATACATCCTCTTGATGTGCTAATTGACAGATCACAAAAAGTCATCCCAACTGCCAGCTGAAACAACACCTGTAAATAGAAAGTCTCCTGGTTTTGCCCATCACTGCTCCAAAACCTGGTTCACAGGCACATCCCTCCTTCATTGTGTGTCATACACTGTAACATAAATTCACCTTCTCCACTCCTGACACTGATCTGCCACTTCACACTTAAAAAAAGACACAACCTCCTCCTCAGCCCTGCAGTTCTCCAGCGATTGCTGAGCCTCAGGAGTGCCCTTGACCAAAATACCCCACCTGTGCTCCACACTCGGAATTCGGTTTCTCTCAGGAAGTGAAAACAAGCTGCAAGTCTTGCTACACGGTTATTACTTCGGGGTAGCCCAGAAAAGACCTCTGGAATCTGCGTGCGCTACAAAAAAAAAAAGAACCCTAAAACTCACATCATGAAAGGAAACACGGGGAGGGGAAAGCAAAGTTTAACTCTAATTTAAAAGTCAAGTGAGTGACACGGTGGATTGAACGCTGTTAACCAAAACTGTGCGAGTCAGAAGTGGATGTCCTGAAAGCAGCAGAAACCCTGCCCGCAACAAAATGAGAATTCTCTTACAAAAACACTTCTGGGGCCAAAGGAAACACCGAGTTTAAGTAAGAAAGCAAGCACTTACACCTATCGTGCTCTCCCCCTCTTCCTTCTCAACTGGGGAGTCTCATTTATCTCAAAGCAATCAAAAGAAAACACTTTGATTTTTCTAAAGTCAGAAAAGCTGCAGAAATGAAAGCCCTGTCTGGCACGAACAAATAATATTGCTGAAATCAAAAGAAGATTTTTTTCCAAGTTAGGGGAAGGGCGAAAACAGTCCTGAATAACTTTACTTTGCATAGCCCAGTTCCTGCCAAAACAGTTCTGTAAATCCCATGGTAGTTCAGATAATTTCCATTCTTAGAGCAAAAAAAAAAAAAAAAAAAGGCTAGATTGAACATTAGCAACATTAATTGTGTGATATGACCTGAATGATGCAAGAACAAGTAGTTAAGTGAACCACAGCATCTGCTGAATTTTTAATCACTAGTTGTTTTGCTGCAAGGCAGAAGAACACTGTATATTAGCTTCCAAGCACTGCACAGAATGGCACATTAGGACAGCAGGATTTTAACTGGCAGGAATTCTGCCTCCCTGCTACCTAAATGCCATCACTTCGCTGTGAACTGCAGACAGAGCAGCTTCTGAAGCAGGATTATTTTTTTAATCACATGGGGGGGGGGGTGAAGGGAGGGGCAAGCGCTGTTTTCTGCACCCCAAGATACCAGTCGGCCATTTCTGACTAATATATTTAATTTTTTTTTTTTTTACAGCTGACATTTTCTTAGCAGCCATCCATGCATCCCTCTGGAGGGTATTTTTACTTTCCAAACAGCTTTAAGCAGTCATGTGGCTGCCCCAGCAGCAACTTGCTACCAAAGGGGTGGTTGAACCTCCAGTGTGTAGGAAGGTGATCTGTGTAAACATTCCTATTAGCTCTGTGCTGCACCAGGAGGAGCAACTGCAACATGTTTAGGCACACCTGAGCTATATTTAATCCATCTTCCCCTGACACCCATTGCAATGACGCTGCAGACGCCCAAATTTGGACAGCCAGGTCATGGCACCGCTGATGAGAGTCAACAAGCCCATCCCATGCCCGCACCAGCCAGTCCTGCTGCGATTTCTCTGGGTCTGACACCCAAAATAGCCAGATTAAACCAACCACCAGGCCTGCAGTGGTAAATACAGCTCCAGTTGTGCTCCAGGCACGAAACTGCAACAGCAGGATTAGCAAGTGATACAGCAGATATCCCCCTTCCACAACACAGACCAGAAAAAGAGAAGTTATTCGGGGGATAAAGGCTAATTCCACAACTACAATGCAAATTCCAAACACAAATCCCACAATTAGAGCCAGAATCTGCACTAGGGGCGATGATCCTGATTCGTATTTTAGGGGTGAGAAAGGAGGACATTTTTAAGAAAAGGACGATGTTCATACATTAAAAAGTGTCCATCACACTGACTTTAACAGATCCTATGTTTAATAAGTTAATAGAATCAAAACAGCTTAGAAAACAAAACCAGCTAAAAATATGGTACAAATAAAAACGGAGCAGCCACACATACCAAAGCAGCATTCCTGTGCCCTCCTTCCTGCAGAGCTTACAGAGCCAGGACGAGGATTTCTAACCAACAACTTTCACTAAACCAAGGTCTCCTTCGAAAGCTTAAATGTATAGGAACATCCAGTGATACATCTGATGACCAAATAATCCACAAGAGCCAAAAAAATCCCAGCAGACAAGGGCAAGAGAGGTGCTTCCCAAGCTACATTATCTTTAATGACAGGCTTGGGATCGGTCCTGCGTTTTCCTCGTAGGCTCAACTATTCAGGTACAAGAAAAGCTGCTCCCTTCTCTGAATCCAGGTATCAAACCTGCAACAGGAATATTAAAATGTGCCATATCTGCTGGGAATACAGCCACCAGTGCGTGAGGATTATCCCAAAATGCCTGTTTGGATGTGCTACAGGGCAGTGAGAAGCGAAAATAACACATTGTGATGAATGTGTTGACACCTGGAACCTCAGGGTCAGTTATTACCTCGGTGGTATTGTGCACACACTATACAATATTCAACTTCACATCGCCACAGAGTTAACTTGGCACCTCCATACCCCAAAACCACACTCCTTCCTGGCATGGGAACTACGGGCCAGTCTCTGTGAACACCCAGAGCGTGCTACAAAACGAGCTTCCAAACTGAAAGAGACGCACAGAATGATGTTTTATACCCTATAAGACACTTAGTTGCAGCTCAGCACTTGACAAGCCGCTCACAATCCCTCACCACCCTTCTCTAAACGGAGAAAAGATTTCAGAGAGCGTTTAGTGCAAGTGAAACATTCCCAGCTTCCTCCTCAGTCTCTGCTCGTTCCCCAATTAAATATGAGAGAGACAACTTAGTCATACAGAGCACGCAGGGTGGTTTTAAGACAGTGGTATTAAATCAAATCCCACAACTTTTCACACCTATTAAAATGTTACTTTGTCATTAGCAGGGGAGATTTTGATAAGCGCGAGGCAATTAACAGACACTGCCTTTGTTACCGGGCTGCTCGTGATGAAGCCCAGGCTCCCTGACATTCCATTTCTTCCCCTCCAAAGCCCCCGTGCTACGGCAAATTTATGGTTTTGAGCGTGTAAGAGGAGAATTGGGCACGTTACCTTCAAAATCAGTCAATAAGGCTCTTTCACTCGGGCCTGGGGAAGGAGGGTGGCTGTTGGAAAGCAAGACAAGGCTCTCCCTTCCCCCAGCCCTCAGGACCCAAAACCGCTGCGCTCAAAACACTCCCATCCCCTGCAGCAAGGGATTAGCCATTTATTAAAAAGGAATCAAAACACTGTAAAAGGCTTCCAGTTAAGATTTTAAGGGGAGGGAAAAAAAAAACCACCAAAAAAAACCCTCGACACAACACCCATGGAACCAGATTCCCATTAGGAATTCTTCTGAACACCCAAGAACGAGCAGCTCAAAAGCCTGAGCAGGATGTCATTTGTCCGGACAATGCTGATCAAATGGCGCAAAAGGAGGACAGAACTAGATTAATTTTTTTTTTTTTTTGTTAGTCATTTCGCTGCCTGCACGTTGAGCAGTAACAACGTTCACAACCTACAGGCATTTACTGGTTGTTTAGACTTTGGACTTTCGAAACCACTGCCTACCTCCACGCTTGGCTCTTAGGGTTTTTTTTTCTGGCTCTTCTCTCGGGGTGACAGACAATTATAATGGCCAAGTATGTAAAACCCTTCATCCGAGAAAACACGAAGCACCAACGCAAACACTCATTAGGACTCGCGACCCGAGCCTGCGCCGCACGTTCCCGGGTTCCACAGCCACCCTGCATGTCCCCAAAACCGGATTCCCGGCGCTGTGGCACGGCCAGGACAGCGCTCAGCAGGGCAGGGTCAACCACTGGAGTACTCACACAGCCTCGCAGGCGGGTTTTGCAGCCCAGGCTGCCAGAGCTGAGCTCTTACAGCCCCATCCAAGCCGGTTATTTAAAAGCAGAGCAGGGACGTAACGCGGCTGTTGGGCGTTGTACGAAGCACCTCGCAGGACAAGCCTTAGATCCACTCCTCCGGCTGATACAAGATTTCTCCAACTGGAAGCGGCACTGCGCAAGCCAATAACGTCGGTTTACTGAAGAAATTAAAAGCTACACTGTTTCGAGTGAGGCCTTAGAGGAAGTAATTCCGAGGAGAAATCACTTCCACTGCAATTGTACTTTTAACCTTTCCTTAGGTTCTTACGCCACCCCCCACGTGAACACGTTATTCGAGCGTTATCGCAGCATCTAACAGCGATTAAAGCTATTGGATCTTTTGGATCGCTGTTTATGTTCACCGAGTTCACAACCCCTCCCTGCGAAGAGCTTGACCGATGCGTGAAACACGGGGGGTGACGGGGTGGGGGGGAAAGCTGTGCAGGGGAAAAAAAAAAAAAAAAAGAAAAAACAGGACCAGGAAGTGACCGCAAGTCGGTTGAGCAAAATTTTGGGGGAAAAAAGATAAGGGAGGGGAAGGGGGCGTTTTGAAAAGCAGGTCCGCGAGAAGGCGGAGAGCAGCGGGGCTGCGTCCCCACGGCCACGCGTGGGACGGTCGCGTTACGCAACCGCGGGGGGGACGGGGATGCCCCGAGCCCCGCACGGTGACCCGGCGGTGCGGGGCGAAGGGGGGGGGACGGGGCCGCTCCCGGGCCGGGAGAGCCGCGGGAGCGCTGCCAGGGCAAGGCAGGGCAGGGCAAGGCAGGGCAGGCAGCGCGATAAACCCCCCCGGGGAGCGGCGGGCGCCGGGAGGGGGAGCGTTAAAACGACCGGGTGAAAGAGCGCGGAGCGGGGCGCGGAGCCCTCGGCGCGGCCCCGTCCTGCGGGCGGGCAGCGGCCCCGCCGCCGCCATGGCCGGCGGAGCGCGGGCGGGCCCCGCTGGCCGCTCGGCCGCCCACCTGCCCCGCACCGCGCCGGGCCCGGCGCACACCCACCCACCCAGCCACCCACCGCCGCGCCCGCGGAGCCTACCCGGAGCGGGGCCGGAGCACGGGCGCCGCGGAGCCGCCAGGCTCGGCTGGGCTCGGCTCGGCTCGGCCGGATCCCCCCTGCGCCCCGGCGGCGGCGGGAGGAGCCGCGGCGGCCGCGCCAATCCGGGGCGGAGCGGGGCGGGACGCGGAGCCGGCGGGGAGGGACGCGGGGAGGGCCGCGGGGCCGCCCCCGCGCCGCGCCAGGCACCGGCAGCCCCGCCGCGCCAGGCACCGGGGGCTCGGCTCGGGGCGCTGCCCGTTCCGGGGGACTCGAGCTCCACCCCCGGGGTGCCTCCGCAACCCCCGCTGCTCGCCCCGCCGTGCCCGGGCTCGGAGCGCCCTGCCCGCCTTTGGCGACCGACGTGGCACCGGGAGCCGCGGGGGTGCCGGTTCTCGGCCCGCTGTGGGGCAGCGGCAGGTTAACGTGGTGGTAACAGGCTAAAAAGCTACGCGGTCCTCTGCAGGAGGCCAAAAGCTCGTTGGATAGAGCTCCTGGTTTTGAAATGTACTGAACTCCCGACTGCAGGGCCGAAAGGATCACAGGGTCAGTTAGGTCGGAATAGACCTCTGAGATCACCGAGCCCAACCTATGACTGAGCACCGCCTCCACGTCAGGTAGACCGTGGCACAAAGTGCCACATCGAGTCTTTGCTTACAAACACCTCCAGGGTGACTCAACCACCTCCCTGGACAGCCCATCCCAAAAGAGCTGCTGGGAGGTCACTGAGAGTGTCCTTCGGTAGAGAAACCCCAGCAGAGCAGTGCCAGCCTTGCCGGCTTGTTTTGCCAACGTTGCCTCCCCGGGAACAATCACTAAATACCCTTTGCTGTCATCTGCCCTTGACAGAGGAAAACACGAGCTGCTGTTCCTGGTGTAGATTATCCGGGGAGGCACAGCTGTGCAGACCCAGGCAGGGGTCTGTCACGCAAGTGTCACCCCAGCCATCCTCTCTGTGCTGTTCTGGTGGAGCCTCAACCTGCAGGGAGAAAGAAACGGGCACTGGATAAATCCTTCTAAACCAGAGGTAACGAGAACAAGCAAGAAACACAAAGGGAAGGCATTGGGAAAAAGGGAATAAAGGGGTGGAACCAGATGATGCCTTGAGCCTAAAGGGGTTCCTGCAAGAAGGAGCTTCCCCTTTCCTTAAAAGATTTTGGCAGTTCATTTCCAGTTAGAGCGATGTGGGCAGGGATGGAGATCCCCGTGGAGGACCAGCTATGACTCAGGGGGAGGGCAGGGTAGCAAACCAAGAAGGCCTGGTTTCTCTCACACCCCAGGGAACAGCACTAAGCTGTGTCAGGGGAGGTTTAGGTTGGAATTAGGAAAAGGTTTTTCACTCAGAGGGTGGTTGGGCACTGAACAGGCTCCCCAGGGCAGTGGGCACAGCACTAATTCTGCCAAATTCAAAAAGCATTTGGACGACGCTCTCAGGGACAGGGTGGGATTGTTGGGGTGTCCTGTGAAGGGCCAGAAGTTGGACTCGTTGATCCTTGTGGGCACTTCCAACTCAGGATATTCTATGATTCTATGATTCCCTGACCTGCAGGAGGGCAGCACTACTCACTCTGTGTCATAGAACACTGTGAGGAGATCCTTGAGGCCGTTCTCAAGCTAAGAAGCAGCCTAAGTGTGTCAGCACAGCAGTGTGATAGTCCTGACAAGGGGCAGAGCTAATTAGCCAAGGCCCAGGATCACATTAACATGGTGTCTCAGATGGCTGAGACGAACCTCCTAAAGTCTCTGGAGTCCCTGTTGACTAAAGCCGCTACATACAAAGACAAAGCAAGGGCAGGAGGGAAGATAGAGGAGAAATGAGTTGCTGAAGGTCAAATATTAGATCAGGAGAGAAATCAGACCCCTCCAGTACTTTCTCCTCTGAACCATAACAAAACCCCAGAACAACAACGGGATTTAGCTGCTGCTGACACAGGAGCTTCTTGTGTTCCAGGGGAAAATTCTGTATTTTGGTATAGGACCAAATGCACATGGAAAAAAGAAAAAACTCTTTACTAGCATGGCCCCACAGTTCAGTGACATACAGTGACACACAAGATATCACCAGATGACTTAAAGGGGAATGAAATATTTGCCCTGTCATATTAGAAGGGAGCCCCACAAGGGTGCAGCCCCAATCTTTTGTTGTAAGTTGATAAAGATAGAAAACTGCCATTTGCTGCTAAATGACTCCTTAAAATTAAACAACCTTTCTCCTCCCACCCCCTCAGGGCATTTACAGATAATATAAGAAAGATTTTGCACACTGTTTAGCTTACATGGCCATCTGGTCCTTCTGCATTTCAGTAGCCTCGAATATTAAAAAAAAAAAACAAAACAATAGATAAAACCAGTCCTATCTTATCAGAGAGCTGGAGAACTTTAACTCTGTCAGAGTACAGAGGATTAACCAAGTCCTTACAGCTCTTTCATTGTTTCCATCTTGATTAATGCTCATATTCATCACAGCTTTGTGTTGTTCCCTGTAAACCGAGCTGTTCCTGGCTGACACTGTTTCAACCATGAAACACAACTCCAGCAGTTGCATCCGCCCTCTGTAGGTGTTCTGCTCCTGGGCCGTGGAGACACAGCAGGGGCACATGCTGAGAAAAGATATGTACAGGTTTTCAGCCAAAATTTAAAACCACTATTGCTAGAAGTCTTGTGTGAGTAGGGAAAAGGGTGCTCTTTTCAAATGAAAATGTAGTGGTCTTGGCCTAACTCAGAAACCTACTTCCTGCTGCTGAGACGTCATCTAATCCCACTGCACTAAGCACTTTCTTCATCTGCTTTTGCTCAAGGGGATAAAAGCACAATTCCCCTGAAGTAACCTGCTCCAAAGCCTCTGGAAACAACAAAAAGTTTGGTCTCAACTCAGCTTATGGTTGGCTTATGGTTGAATCCAGCACTTGTTCTGGGGTTAATTCCCGCTCCCCTCTTCCCCGTGGAAGAAAACCAAGAAGGGTTGAGTCTGTTTGGAAAGACATGTGATTTCCTTAAGAATGTGGCTTTGGGCCTTGAAGGAAGAAGCCAGCTGAGGATGCTTTCACCTGTAGTGCTGGAGCAGGTTTTTGAGTGAAATCTGTAGCAGGAGGGAACATTCGGTGTAAATGCACCGTAAATAACAGAGGATGTACAGATATGCTGAGACATAAAAAACCACTCAGGCCGTGTTCCCAACTGCACTTTGCATTGTAACATTGCTAGTTTGCATTTTAGGGAGAGCTGGGAGCTTATAAATGTGCTGCAACATCCAGCTTTTGGGTATCGGCTGCCAGAGTGCAATAGAATACCCCAAGTCAGGTACCTCGTCCTTCTATTTATAGCCCGGAGAGTGTCAGACTCTTCCCAAGGGCGAGTGGAAACTCCCACCTGCCAAGCAGAGAGACCTGGGAGAAGGAAACATCAAAGGAGGGATGTATTAGACTTGCTTTGCATAGCCAGTGTGTGGGTGTTTCCATCAGCTCAGGATCCTGGGCCCACACATCCAGGGTTTCGGAGTTTGTCAGTGCTCTTTGAAGGATCAGAGCAAGGACAACAATTCCTGTTTAACACCGTGGGTGTCGGGGTTGCATTTGATGTTTGTTGTATGTGCTGATCTAGGTGGTAGAGAAATACCCAGGAAAGGGAAGAGTCTCTCCAAACCCATCCAGGTGAGAGCCCAAATGTCTCCCTACCCGCTCGGACCGTGCCCTCCTCCAGGCTGAGGCACTGAGGGTTTGCTGGGTGGTTGCCTCACACTCCTGCTAAAAATGGGCTGCAGCACAAAAATAAACCTCAAAGAACAGAGCAAGAGGCTTAACCGTGTCCTCTACTTGTTGTGAGACAGGAATTTCACTTCTATTTTCTGCTCTGAGAGTTTGTTCTGGTTTTTAAAGTAGCGACCGTTTCAGATGAACAGCCTGAGCAGAAGTGGGGACAGCAGCCAATGCACTGTAATGATTCTGCTGTTCAATCCTTGATTGAGAGGTTATCAATTAAATTTGGCAGGATGACAGACACACTGTGCCCTCTGCAGCATCACAGTTTGCCTACAGAGGATTTTCTCTGGCTCCATACAAGCGGCTGTGGGCTACAGCTTTATAATTCCATCTGCCTGAACTTTCACCAAAAATATATTCAGAAGATGTAATTATTTCAGGGTTAAATTCGGAGATAGGTTTCCCTACACCTTCCGTATTGATTTTCATTTGTGCAAGAGTGGGAAGAATCACCCTCACAAAGAACAATACCCCACGTGAAGGAATGAAGAGCAAAAAGAACAAATTAGCAGATTGCCACATAATGATCTCCTCAGCACAAAACGTATCTGGTAATGACAGTCATATTGCCAAGGAACAGAGAAATTCAAATTGGTTCTCAAAGCTTCGATGGCTAAAATGTGGGGGTATTGTCGTAAAATCATCAGGTATGTATGAAAATGAGGGGTTTAACCTTCCAGGCATGTCTAATATCTGCACAGGATAATGAGTTTATAAATTCACATCGCTTTTTTACCTCTATTTAATGCTATCATGTTTATTCCTCTTAACACAACGTTTCTCTTAACACAAGAAAATCAGTAGCAGTCAGAAATTTGGGCGAAAAACACCTGAATAACGTGCTTTATCTTAAAGAGACATTGCAATACTTTAAAATCTTGCCATTATTCAAACACGACGAGACCCGTGTGGCGACCTAAATATTGTCCGTGGAAAGCATCACTGCAAAGCACGTTGAGGAAACCCATTCTGGCTGTAACTTACCTGGCTCAGGTAACACCTGCAAAGCTGCACAGCAACCCCTGAGCCTGCCAAGGACCCGAGGCAGGTACTTGGGTTGCCTTGAAGGGTACGCAGATGTGTTATCGCTGACGTTGTTATTGGAGCCCGTGAGATTAAGCCCTCAGCTTCCTAAATTCAGCATCGACATCCATGTGACTGGAAAGTAGCCAAATGTGCCGGTTTGGATGCTCAGAGGAGCGAACAAGTGTTGTTTCAGCATGGAGATGCAGGTGTGCAGTAAGAAAAAAATGATTTGGGGTTGGAAGGACGCTCCTAAACTTGCTTTTTTCCCCTAGAACTTGTGTTTCAGCACAGGACTGTATCGTGATATAAGGTAGAACTGCTGAATGACCTCAAATTCCAGTGCCGTGGGGGAAAAAGGGGAGTAACAAAATTCAACAAACACTGAGGACTGCATTGGATTGGAGTCTGGACAGCCTATAAATCTGAGCTCCTGTAGTTCTGTTGTTTAATTGGATCTTTTGCAAGCCACAGGGAAACTTGGCAGCACTCAGTAAACTCCATGCTGATTTTTTTTATTATCTATAGCAAATAAATGATTGTAGGATTCACACTGGTCAATGTTTGTGACCTGTGCTGTAACCTTTGTCAGCCTGTACAGAAACAGGTGTTGACACCTCTGCAACTGCTGCAGCCTGGGATGTGCAGAGACACCGACTCTCCAATGATCCAGGACTGATCAATGTCATGGGGAACAGCTTTGTGCTCTGACAGAAGGGCCTTTAATCCATGTATTGCTGTACTAAAATCGTGTTTCTGTGCAGAATTACCGATACATTTCTGTAACTCCGTGCGGAGGTCCCGCGTTTCCAGGCTGTTGGAAGGGCATGGCTGTCCCCTGCCGCTGACCACGGCTCCCGCTGCTCAGCACTTTCCCCGTTTGCCAACACTTCTTTCCATCCCAACACCGTCCCCATTTTTGCAGTGCCACCAAGCGGATGGTTCCTCCCTTAGCATTTTAGTTTCACGCGTTATCATTTATAAACAAACGCAGAGCCGTCCAGTAGCTGAGAGTGGGGATAAGCACAACCCACCCCAGCAGAGCCGCAGGGTCGGTACGATGTGGTACGGGAGGAAATAAAGGATCTTTAATGAAAACTCTTCTGTGATGCTTTGAGGCCTGTGGAAAACTGTCTCTGGCTCCTCGGGAGGCGGCACAGCACGGTCACTGAGGTGGGGACATGGACCTTCTGGGCTTCTCTTGAATATGAGGAAGAACTTTATCGTGTGGGTGACCAAGCACCGAACACGCCGCCCAGAGACGGTGTGGAGCCTCCCCCCACTGGAGACATCCCAGAACCATTTGGACACAACCCCGTGCTCTGGGATGACCCTGCTTGAGCAGGGAGTGGGGGACCAGCCTCCCCACTGGGGTCCCTTCCAGCCTTCCACCCGGTGTGTGATCCTGTGGGCGGCGGGAGGGCAGCGCCAGGTCTGGGGGCTCAACACACTGTCCCTGGGTGGCGGTGGGGAGTGAGGGCTCCGTGACCCGGACCACAGCCGGGTGACCCCTGGGGCCAGGTGATCCCCGTGGCCAAGTGACCCTGTGGCCAGGTGACCGCCAGGCACAGGTAACCCCCAGGTACAGGGAACCCCCAGGTACAGAGAACCCTCAGCCACAGCCTCCCCCAGCCGCCATCTTAGCGTGCCCCCCCTCACAGCGCCGGGCGGTGCCTCAGGGCCAGCGGCTTCACCTCCCTCACCCCACCAACCAATGAGCGGCAAGCGAGGGCGGGGAAGCGCTGCGAGCAGCCAATGAAAATTAAACGGCTACCCCCGGACGACCAATAAGCGGCCCGCTCCGGGATTGTCCATCAACGGCCGCGAGAGAGGCCGATTGGAGGGCGCGGGGCGGGCGCGGCCAATGAGCGTTGTCGGGCGAGGTTTGAAAGCGAGGCGGGGCGGCGCGCGCGGGGGGCTGAGGGCCGGGCAGGTAATGGAGGGGACGGGGGGGGACGGGGGGGTTTGGTTTGGTTTGGGGGCCCTAAAAGGACTTTAAGGACCCGGGAATGGGCTTCGTGACGGCGGGGAGGGGGTCGTGCCTGAGGAGGGGGGCTGTGGTAGCGGTGCCTCCCCGGTGAGCTGGGCTGGGAGCGCCCCGGGGCGCTGAGGGGACAGCCCGGTTGGCGACCCCTCACAGCGGGGTCTGGGGGTGCCCGGCAGCCCGTCCCGACCCCCGGGGGCCGTCCCTTAAACCACCGAGTCCAGGCCTCATTCAGCGCTAAACAGAGCCGTGTTTGCTCTGCCTGCTCTGATTTCTCGCTGTTGGGGCTAAAAGTGCCGAATGAGCACCTAAATGGTTTTGTATCCGTTTATTAATATCCAGTTATTATTGCCCTTTGGCTCTCTTGGTGTTGCTGGTCAAAAGCGGCTCTTTTCTGTCACTTTTACTTTTAAAAATAAATTTTCAACTTTAATTTTCGGGAGTTGTAAGTTAGCCACTCACAAATCTCTTGTATATATTTTTTCCTTTACATATATATATATATGTATGTATTTGTGTGTATATATATGTATGTGTATAAATATAATCTTCTGTCCCTTCCCTGATAACGGTCTTTATTTGAATTTATGCCAGTTTAAATCCCAGCTAATCTTCTGGGCTCCGGTTTGGGCGAGTTACCACACAGGAACAGTAACCTGCAGAGAAGAGACAGGTATGTTTGTTCTAAATTTAACTAAGATATTGAGCTTGTCGCACATTTTTAATGACAGATCACTGGTAAACTCCTGCATTGCTTTTGCTGACCTGGGAAGTGAGTTGGGAGCACCTTTGTGGGAAGCTCTCTCTGTGTCTCTGCTTGTGTTATATTTGCCTTCTTCAAGTTTTAGTTTGATTTCTGTGCAGGATTTCTTACTGAGGTGTAGGTCAGTCGTTCGTGAGGCTTTTTCATGGGAGAAGGTCCTAAGTTCTAAGAGGTGGTGTCTGAACAGGCTTGGTCTGTGTTCCTTCTTTCCAACAGCTCAGGTTCTCTCCTTGCCTGGTTTTTCCATGAGAATATGCACTTTATTTCTGTACTCTTTCTGTTTTGGTGCATTTCTCCTCTGCCATTTGGGTTTTCCAGTTAGGCTGCTGGTTGTGGTTTTGGGTTCTGGTAACAAGTGGGTGGGGAAGGGATGGACTTTAAGAAATCCCCTACACCCGTTGTCAAGGCTGATCTTTTCAGTCCAGTGATTCCTTTAGCTTGATCAGAGCTTGCTGTCTTTAAATGAAGAACCTCAGTAAATGACCAATTTATCAATAAATTAGTAACTGTTGGGTAATTAGTTTAGCTCTGTCACCCTGCTTACTCTAGAGCTGTTCCTTGGAAGTGGTGGAAGATGAGATGTCTGAAGGACTCTTCTTGAGGTGGAAAACCCTTGACAAGGCAGGCTTCAGTGGGGATAATAGAATCCCAGAATGGTTTGGGTTGGAAGAGACCTTAAAGCCCATCCAGTTCCACCCCCCTGCCATGGGCAGGGACACCTTCCACTATCCCAGGTTACTCCAAGCCCTGTCCAACCTGGCCTTGGACACTCCCAGGACTGGGGCAGCCACAGCTTCTCTGGGCAACCTGTGCCAGGGCCTCCCCACCCTCACAGCCAACATTTTTTCCTGTTATCCCACATAACCCTGCCTTCTGCCTTGTCCAAAGCCCCTCTCCAGCTCTCCTGCAGCCCCTTTAGGTACTATCAGCACAGCATTTACAAACCAACTGACATTTGCCTGAAGTCTCCCTCAGGTTAAAAAAATAGGGAGAAAGAAATCCTGCTGGAAACAACCGCTATTGTTTTGCGGTTGCATCCTGGAAAGTCGGCTGGGGAATGGTGCCAAGTACTCTGGTGCAGGACAAAAATTCCTTGCCATCAGATAGGGTGTAATCCAAATGCTCGGTGGCAGCTTCCAAGTTGCTTCCAAGTATTGTCCTAGAGCCTTGTCATTGTCTTTTTCTCCCTCATCTCCTCAACGTGGAAAACAGCTGTGGTGAGAACAGACCTGCTGGCCAATCCCAGGCAGGGCTGCAGGGTCCCCTCCTAACTCTGTGTCAGACTTGTTGACCGCTCAACCACCAAAGTAACCCCTGGAATTAACAAAATAATGAGAAACTACCGAAAGGGTCGTTGCTGAAATGAAAATTGGAGTGTTTTTCTGGTACAAGCACAGAAACAAAGAACTTGGGCCTTTGCCCGTAAGGTGCAAACTTTTACCAAAAAAAAAAAGAAAAGAAAACACGAAGGTTTTTTACGTAATCATTATGATTTTCTGTCTCAGGTCCTCAGGATGGCGGCTCCCTCCCAGTTTGCCAGTCGCTACAAGAAGGATTTGAGCACGGAGGCCCTGAGAGCCAAAGTTGCCCGCAGGAGATCGACCCTTCAGAAGGAGAACAGGCACAAGCTGTTCGAGAAGGGCCGGCAGCTCGGCCTGGCAGACCTCAGCCTTCAGCTCTCCAAAGACAAGGGGATTTCTGAACTCAAGGAAACGAGGGAAACGTGCTCCCAAGAGAGCAGCAGCGTAAAGCAAAGTAAAAGCTTGTTACAGACCTTTTTTTTAAATGTTAAAAATGTTTTTAAGTGGGTTTAATAACATTATCAAAGGGACCTAACTGCAGTTTAAGATTTAAAACCCAGTGACTGCCAGTCCTTCTAACTGTTAAAATCAAGAAAATAAAATCTTAATAGAGTTGTATCCTCCCCACTGCTCTGGTGGTGTGAGTGAGGTTTTGCTCTGGTTTGGCTGGAGCAGCTAAAGGAAAAATGCATTTTGCTATTAATACTCAATGGGAAGTCTCTTAATGGCTGCTTTGTCCTTCAAGATGTGAACAATTCCAGTCTAAAATCTCATCTAACATACAACTGGTGTCTTTGAACTGTGCTTAGAAATGGGCAATTGTATATTATAATGATATATACAATTACTAATGGGTAAATGCAAAGCATAAATGCAGTGTATTTTATTTTAAAAATCCCTAGTTTTTGGCAACTCATCTTTCCCCTCAGAAAAACAGGGTCTGCGTATATACAGAATTTTGCCTCCCTGGCTCTCCTGGATGCTTGTGGTCTAAGAAATTAGGTTAATCTTTCAAAAAGTTAACAGATTTCTTTAGAAATATTGTCACCTTCAATATTTTGACAGCAGAAGATTATTAGAGGATAGTCCCTTATTGGAAGATAAGTGCAGTTTGTATTTAATAATATTAAGTATGAAATTTAATAAATACTTTATTATCTTTAATAAACTTCAACTTTAGGTGGATATTAATTTTTCAGGTAGGCATAAATTTGACGTTTGGCATCATCTTAAGGTTTTATTATTTCATACAATTTCTGCCCCATTTATTCTCAACCACACCTCGGTATCTGAATCAGACCTAAAGTTCAAAAAATTCAGAGATTCCAGACAGCCTCCTGCTCTTGGACTTCAGATGTTCCTCTTCCAGCAGGCAAAAATGTATTGCCAGTTCCTTGACTTGCTTCTTGTTGGCTCAAAAATACCCCCTGTGGTTTTCAACCCCCTCTTTGCTCCAGAACCAGCTGCAAGCGCGGCCGCCAGGAGGATGAACGAGCGCAGGGAGATGCTCCAGCGCTACAAGGAGCAGAAGGAGCTTCGGAAACTGGTGGAGCAGAGGGAGAAAGCCAAGAAGGGAGTGTTCAAAGTGGGGCTGTACAGACCAGCAGCGCCCGGATTCCTCGCCCTGGCACCCGAGGATCCAGCAAAGCCCAAAGAGAAGGTGGGAAGAGCAAGATTTCACATCCCAGTTAGTTACATCTGTAAACTCTACCGGAATTTGCTTGTGTACAAAATCTGTGTGTTATTCCAAATAGAGGGTTTATTTGGAAAATGCTTTGCTAATATTTCCTGTTATGAGAAGGAACAGTGAAGGAGTAATTTGGCTCATTTTTTTTTTTAAAACAAGGCTGGAAATACTACCGGTGATACGTGGCATTTTGTATTTATGACTCTGTTCAGTTCAAAGACTGGGATGATTAATCCACAAATGAAAGAGCTAAATTATTTTAGAACTGGCAACTTGCTCCTCTCTAGTCCACTTGACTTTGAAAGTTTTTCAGGTTGACCCATTTTGCACCTTGATGCTTCTTACTCCCTCTCACAGTGATGAAAGAGAAAAGGAGAATATTAACCCTTGTTTCCTTGGGGATGTTTCCAGGCAGCTCCTGCTTACTCTGGAAGGATCACTCGATCAAAGGCCAAGATCCAAGAAGGAAAATCCCTGATACCATCTCTGATACCAACAGCACCTAAGTCCTCTACGGTTTGTTTTTTTTATATATGTGTATAGAAACCTCAGTGAATAAATTTAGAGAGAAGGATGCATTTTCAGACCATAACTCAGGGTTGTATCTTCACAAGTTCAGGAGCAGTTTTTCAGTCAAATTTTTGAAGATATTTTGTACCAGCACTAAAGTAATTTTTATTTTTACTGTGAGGCGTGGCAGTCCCTTGTGCTATTACTTTTATTAAAAAAGTAGGTTCTGTTGAGGAATTTCACCAGCAGGAATCTCTAAAAGAAGCTGCATTTTTTGAATCCTGCCTTGCAAAATTTCAATGTATTTGAAGGAATAACTTTATAACTTTCCAGTCATAACTTTACAAAGGGACAACTGAGTTAATATTGATTTTTATTTTTTTTTAAACTGATTTTTGAAACACAATGTGTACTAAGATGTGGCAGTAATTGGGACCTCATTTCATAATATTTTGAATATTTTTCTTCATTCTTTTTCTGACAATTTCTTAACTATTTGGGAAATGGATGTTAACACACATCTAAACCAATCTGGTTTAGTTATCTTTAGTGTCTCTTTATTTTTTAAAACCCTCTATGCCAAATTATTTACCTTTTTGTTTTACTGTGAGCTAGAACAGAGAGATGAGGAAGGAGATTGGGCTGGTGAATCTCTGGAAATCTGATATTTCATGGATAAATGTTGATTTTTTTTTTCTTGTAGGTGAGTGCCCATGGGCAGAGCCTGCGCCCTGCCCAAGCAGGACGTAAACAGATGGGCACAGCCAGAGGGGCTGAGAAAGAGAAAGGTATGGAAGTAGCATGATCCCTACATCTGAGCCTGGGAAAGGATGCTGCTGGTTTGGGTTTGGGTGTAGGAAATGGGGAGGTTTTAAGGATGGCCACTCCTGCCAGCTGTGACAAGGGTGGCAGCTGGCAGATCATCCAGGGACCTCACGGGCTTGTTGGCCGGGGGGAAAATGGAATGCAGGGTACTGGCATTCCTGGTTACTGATTATTCCCCCCAGGAGAGGGAAAAGAAACAGGTCAGTGGGCAGGATTGCATGGCTGCCAGCTGCCTTAGCTCCTGGAGCTGTGCAGAGCTCTCTGTTTGCCTCTGAGAGGAACAGCAGAGGTAGCAACTGCTGCTGTCACAGAAGAGCAAGAGGCTTCATCTGGAAAGATCAAGAGTAGCTGACATAAGGAAAATACTATTTTTCCTTGGTATTGTGGATAGCCTGAAAAATAGCTATTTGTATGAACTATAAATATTTTCCTTGAGATCTGTCTTCTACAGAAGTCCCTACAGAAGTACATCTGTACAGGGATGTCAGATCTCTCAATGAAAATACCTGTGTAATTCAGCTTTGGAAAAGGACAACCTGCTGGTAAAACACATCAGCATATGATGCTGGAGCCAGGAGCCCAAACTTCTGGTGCACACCAGTGCAACTGAGTGAATGTGTGATTGTCTTCTTCAAAAAAAGAAGTACAATCTTACATTTTCATATATTAAAACAGCCCTTTCTGTATCTGCCACTTTGTGTGTGACAATTACATGTATTTCTTAAGGAAAGAACAGTTAAAAAAAATCCATGCTACCTTTAGGGGAGTAGAATAGCTCTGATTAGAAATTCTTCCTCACAGCCCAGTGATGTCTGTGCCTTAAGTAGATACAGCCAAGTCATGTGGAATATTGATGTTAATGCAAGATATTCACTAATTCAGAGTGAAATGACTCTCACATCATTAATCTAATTAAATCAGCAAGCAGCAGACCTTTATTTAAATAGTAGTGCCTTCAGTGAACACTGAAAAGATCTATTATCACTGTTTGTTATAACAATTAAAATGTTTAAATTTTGAAAAATTGCTGTTCACTAGAATTGATTCTTCCTTTTGTGCTGAATCAAAGATATGCAATACATGTATTTAAACTATTTAAAGGGGGGTTGAAATGAGATGTTACTCTGATGGTTTGCTTAAGCTTCCAGCTGTGCAAATAACCACAGCAAAGTTATTATTCTAGAGAACTTCGTCTGTCCAGCAGGGATGGCATTGACTCTGGTTGCAGGGAATGTGGAGAAGGAAAAAAAATCCCAGCCCTGTTCATTGTGGCCAACCAGTACAACTGATAATTGCTTGTGCACTCTCCTGATTTCTGCAGAATTTGAACTTTCAGCTATTACTTGAGCGCAGCTTCCTGAAATCTCTGGAATTAATGTCTCTTCCAGTGTTGCAGACTGCAGCCCAGCCAGCCTCGAATGTGAGGGTCACCAGAGCAGCTGCCTCTGCAGCCAGGCAGGTGCTGAAGCCAACAGCTCCTGCTGCTACTGCAGGTAGGTGAGGCAGTGAGTTGTGCAACTCAGCTGTGCTTACACTGTGCTTAAATCATGGCAAATTGTCATGTAAGAGAAGGGCTGGACAGTGATGACTCAGACTCTCATCTGGAACCCTCTTGCAATATTTAAACCAAGATGTTGAGACCAACATTGGACAGTTTCCCACAAAATCCATCACTGTGGAGCCTCAGTGTCCACACGGTAATTACAGACTCACAGAACAAAGCCGGAGCTGGTAAAGATTTGCCACCTTGGTGTATTCCTGTTTATGGACATCTGATTATGAAATGTGGGAGCAGGATGAGACACCTCTGGGTGAGATGAGAGCCTTTGTTCCCCAGGTCAGGAATTGCTCTTTGTCCGTGTTTGCCTGTTTACTAGAATTTAATTCACCAACGGAAATCCATGTAGAAATCAAAAATCTGAACTTGAATTGGCCTGATATTCTCTCTTCAACCTTTAAGGAAATAAGATGACTTTTATATTTAGTCCATGACAACATCTGAAGATTAATGACTTAATAAATCTGTTTGCCTTTCTGGGTGATGCATCTCTTAATAGACTGTTAAATCCTAGGCCAGGTTTTCTTTTGAATGAACTTTTGCAATGTTCTTTCTTCTCTCCAACCACCTCCCACTCCAGAAGAAAAGCAATCTCTCCCTGTCTTTAGCAACTGGATTTTTATAGCAGCCTTTTGGTGAAAGATTTACCTTAATCAGGTGCCTTTTTGACCTCTGGGAGTTTCTCTTGTTCTAGGTAACCAGCCCCAGAGAAAGACAACAAATGTAGGGAAGCAGAAGCAAGCTGTCAGACCTGATACCACCAAGGTAGGTTGTTGAATATCCAAAATGGAAAAGCAGTAAAACTGATTTAAGAGCCAGTAACAGTCAGTGTCATTGTAGCTGAAATAAATGTTCAAGCACAGAGGTAATGAGTTCACTACTAAGCTAGATTTTGGGAAGAAGCTGTATGTGTTTATACTGCCATATTTTGAAAATTAAGCTCAAATTTAGTGCTTTTATAGAATGATAGAATACTATGAGATGGGAGGGACCCACAGGGATCATCCAAGTCCATCTCCTGGCCCTGCACAGAACAAGCCAAGAATCCCACCATGGACATGGATGGGATGGATGGATGACTTGACTACTAATCAAGATCTGGACACTGATTTAAAATAGCCAGGAAGTTCTTACATGACATATCTCACATTTGATGTTCTAATTAGTTAAAAAAAAAAAAAAAGACTCTTTTGCTGATTTAATCAAGCAGTGGTGAGTTTTGTGCAGTTGACTCCTTTTTGAAGCATGCCTTGAATCCTTAACATCTTGAGTAACAATGTGAGACTCTAGAAGCTAAGAAATAAACACATTTTTAGGGTTTGATCCACACACACACAAAAAAAAAGCTGAGAATGTTTTTCTCTGCAAGGCAGACGAGATTTATAACTCATTGTGGTTCCTGGTGTCATCACTATAACAATGTTTCTGCCTCTACCAGTGATTTTTCTCCTTCTTTGCACTCCACTGTTCCCTCTCACACATCCCATCTCTGTTCCTGTTTTCACAACTGCACCTGTGTGTGCTCTGGTGCTCTCTTGAAGTTGTGCAATCACACACAAACAGCAGGTAAGAGCACTTACATCTTCCTTAGACAAGCACCTCTTCCCAGGCAGGAGCTCCTGCCAGTTGGTTAAACTCTTGCTGTAACCACGAAGTCATCTCCTTTGAAGAGGTGTGTTAAAAGCAGAATTGGAGGTTTACATTCCTACCAGGGGTCACTGAAATATAAAAAGACTTCCAGGGGATTGAAGATGCCTATTTTCTTCAGGAACAATCTGAGTTCTTTTGGCTGCTTTGAGCTACCAGGCTCTCAGTTGGGTATCTCAGAAATGTGTTCTGTGTGACTATCTGGCCACACATCTCATAAGAATGTGGATTCAACTTATTGTTTAATTTTTTTCTCCTCTAGTGACATTCTGTGGTCCCAACTGCACTTGGCTTGGACTGCATTCCTCAGCTATCAGCCTATTTCAGCTTGTTTTCCAGCCTTTGGATTGCAGGGTGTGGATAAACTGTGATTATTCAACAGGCTAGTTGGATTTGGAGCCAGTAATTCTGCTCTTGAGGAGTTTATCACCTTAAAGCATTTTTTTTTCTAGCATTTGCTAATTGTAGTTATTGTTTTGGTAGGTGAAGTTGTTCTGCTTTAGCCCCTTGAGTGGATTGTTGCATTCCTTGTAGTGAAGGGTTACTCCTCTCCCTAGAATGATTTGCAGGTGTCAAAAATGTTGATAAATCATCACTTCTGTACAGGTGTGCTGTTGCAGAAGGTGACCCACCTAAAACTGTCCCTTCCTGATGGCTTTCAGAGAGTCATTTTATAATTCCCGTTATAATTTCCCATAGCAAACACTTGATTGATGTGATAATTTGTCTATTTATGCTGTTACAGATAATTCCTTCTAAACACGAAGTGGAGAAAAACGCTCAGGTGGACCCGGGGGTGAAAGGTCCCGCAGCTGATTCCAAACATTCAGCACCAGTAGAACTGGAGCAGGAGCAAACCTCGGTGGAAAACAACAATTCTGCTCCAGGGAGACCCAAAACGTGCTCTTTTGCACCTGGGAACTTCGTGTTTCAACCACCGAGCGAATTAGCGAACTACAAAGTTAAACCCATGACTCCTTCAAGTGCAAAGGCTTTTTTGACAACCCCTGCTGTCTGGAATTTCTCAAAATCTCCAGTGTAAGATTTATGTTTTATTTTCTTCTAAAGGGGCCTAAAGTGCAAGTGAACCTCTCTGTGTGGTGGTCCAAGATAACATTTGTGTGAGATTCACTGTGGAAGAAGCTGTTGTGGGATGGTGCCACCTGATCTTCGTGGTTGGTCTCACTGATTAAATGTGGGCTTAATACAACAGCAAATATGGATATAATCCTTAATTCTGCCCATCAGCAGCTATCAGGGACTCTGCCCTATATCCCTCTGCACAGACTTATTAAAATTAATAAGATTTTCTTGAGTTCTCTAGTGTTGTGTGGAGGATTGCCTCCTGAACTGCATTTCTGTGCATTTGGCCATATTTGATAATGAGCTTCTCCATGTGTCTGAACTCTAAATGCACTTTTGTTTCTTTGCAGCAAAACAAATGAAAAATCCAGCGAAACTAAAGCGCAAAAGTCCAATTTAAGAGGTCGAATTCTGCCTTCTGTTAAAGGCATTCGAGAACAGCAAATGACCACAGGTGTGAAAGGAGAAGAAGGTAGGAAGTTCACGTTTAGTTTGTTGTTCCAATGTTTTTAATTATCACTGGATTCTGAACAAATTCCTTCCCTATTTTTCAGCGGGTGAATCGGATGAGAAAACTTCCACTCAGAGGTCAAATGAAACAACTCCTGTCCCAACAGCACTTGAAGGGAAGTCAGGTGATAGAGGAGAGCAAGAGCATGATGTGCCCTATTTCAGGTTTGGGTTCACTTGTTTCACTTCCCTGATGTCCATTTGAAGGTCCTTAACATGAGTAACGAGACAGTTTGTAAAGATCAGCTTAATTTAGTGGTGATTGGTGTCTGTCAGCAGTGACCTGAGCAGGGACACATTCCTGTCTTCCCTTTTGGATTGTTAGTGCAAGGAACAATCTAAGGACTTCTGCTCAAAGGCTGTGGCTTCTCTGAAAGCAGAAGGACAGTCACCATTAACAGCCACGGATCAGGAAGTTCTCCAAGACGTTGTTTTTTTCTGTATCCCTTTATTTCCAGAAACATTCTCCAGACTGAGACGGAGAGGCTGCTGTCTCAGTGCCTGCAGTGGGATGGAAACCTGGAGCTGGACATTCCAGAGGATGGTAAGAGTGAGCTGCAATAGGCACTGAAAAAGGGCCTTATGGGAACTGAAGGGGACAGAGAGAAGTACCTGTGTCTGCTGCTTGATAAACAGCACTGCTTGCAGCACTTAATAAAAGCTGTTTTAGATAAAGTTTAGAGCTCTATCTGCCTCCAGACAAAAAGCCATGGTCTACTACTGCTAAAATTTGTGTAGCACTTGATGTGGTGGTGATGATTGATGAGGTGAACACAGTGCATATCAAAATAGTTGTTCTGTTGTCAGTGTGAAGTGTAATTTAAATGCATGAACTCTAACCAAGCTGATCTGGAATAAGTGCCCTTCCCTGGGAGAGTGAAGGTGACTCATTAATTCTTAGAGATTTTTTTGAAAGAAGCAAGTTTAGAGCAGATCAGTGGGTAGGGATGCTCCATCTGAATTATATTGAAGTTTGCAATAAGAGGAACAAAGTTCAAACAGCAAACAAATTCCAGATTCTTCAAATACTTGATTTTAATCAATTGTGAAATGGGGGATTATTCCAAGTTGCCCTTTATTTTTTTTCCCCTGTTACTAAAGCTAAAGACCTGATTCACACCACAATTGGTCAGACAAGACTGCTCATGGAAGAGAGGTTCAAACAGTTTGAAAGGCTGGTTGATAACTGTGAATTTAAACAAGGTGAAAAAGAAACAAGGTGTACAGACCTGGATGGATTTTGGGACATGATTAATTTTCAGGTATGTACTTGCATGTTGACCTACTGGGATAAAACTTGATGGAGTTATTTACAAACCATGGATTGAAATGATTTTAATTGGTTTTTTTATTTTTAATGTAAAAAATGCAAATCCTTGTTTAAGGCTTTCTGACAATGAATAATAGCAATTGGTCTACTCTGATTTGTAATTCATGGACCAGTTCTTTTGTTGTGTCTTCTTGTGGCCTGTGTATCTTGTCTGTCTCTGGAATGAAGGTTTGTAGCCAAATTTTACTCTGGTTTGGAGTGAGGCTGCAATCACAATGCCTATCTGGACCAAAAGCTGGGAGATTTTGGGAAAATTCCAGGAGCTCACCTGAAAAGTAGGGGTTCCATGCTTCAGCATGAGAACAATGCAGAAACTACAGGAGATCTATTTAGGGGTGAGTTTAGGTGGTAGAAAACCCTCATCTCTTTTCCTCTGTTGATGCTTTGATCGATTTCAGAATGAAATACAATATTCTAAATTATCAAAAGGGCTCTCAACATTATTTGCAAATCAACATTCAACAGAGGAACTTGTAACTTGTTGAATTAAATGCGAAGATGGATTTGTTGTGGTCCTGGTCATAGCTTTTGAATTCCCTGCAGAAAGGTTTGATCTTCTTCTTCAGAGACATGTGAGATATTGCTTCCTGCAGAATGGAAACTGTACTTGTTGGGATAAAGACTATTGTGCAACGTGTTCTTTTGCTTTGTTTAAATTGTGACCCCTGTCAAAGGGCTTGGATTCAGGGTGAAAACAGGGTGTAAACCAGAACCAGCTCCTTCATTTTAGGTTTTACCAAACAATTCTACATTTCCCCTGCTAACCTGCAAACTACAGCGGTGAGACCAGGCTTGCCATCTACTCTGAAGGTTGTGTAGGTGGTGTAACCTTCATGTCAGCTGTAGAATATTTAATACTTCCTATCAGTTGGTGGCTTAATTGGCTTCTGTATTTACATCAGAACGACTTGAATGTATTAACTGTGCTTGAGAAGCTCTGATCTGATTTTATGGAACACTGCTCTGCTGCCAGCCTGGTAAGTCTTGAAAGTGAAACCTGGAATTTTCCTGGGCTTTCCAATAGATTGAAGACGTGAATAAGAAATTTGATAACCTGAAGAAGCTTCAAGACAATGAGTGGCAGCCACTTGATGTCCCAAGCCAAGCAGTTGTCAAGGTATGAATAGCCCCTAAAGCACATCTTGTAGGGTTTTTTTAGATGTTAAAGTTCAAATATTCAGTGAAATTCCTCCCTTGCATCTCCCACGTGCACTTTTGTCAGTTGGTGTTTGTAGTGCCAGTTTCCTCTTTTGGCAAGATTGGAACTAAGAATTAACATTAAATTTTTTTTTTTTGAGTCATTAGATTCTATGCCACTAAGATAAATCTGTTAAATTTAGGATGTAAACCTACCCTTACACTTTATCTGGGCCACTGGCATTGACACTGAACTTAACTGAAAAGGAAACCACATGGAAATTTGGGAGTGACTGCCAGTTTTGAGAAGGGAATGCTAAATTATGGTGTCCCAGCAAGCCAACACCACGGGTAGCTTCAAACTGCTACTTCTCAAAGCATAAATGGATCTGACAAGATCCAAAATGAGTTATTCCTTACTGTAAAATGAATTGTTTTATCTGCTCTTTGATTTGCAAGATATAATTGTTTCTGACTGAAGCAAGTTATATTTGCATTGCCCAAACTCTGTCCAGTTCCTTGAGATTGCTTAAATTGATCATAAAAGGGATACAAAGGTCAAGAAAAAATCCAGGCATGGGAAATTGGAGGGAATGTGGTCTGTGGAAGCTGCCCATAAATGCCAGAAGCCTCCAGGTGGTACAAAACAAAACTTCCCTTGAAAAATTGAATGCCAGGAAAGCTTGACTGCCTGCCTGGAGTCTGCCCTGTGGTTGCATTCTGTCCCTGCCACTAGGAGTCCCTGCATCCCAGTGTTTCCAGTATCTGACTGGGTTTGTTAGGAACAAAAGTTGTATTGGGTGTTTCTGAACTGCAGGCTCAGCGTGAAAAAAAATTCTCAGTATTGTCATCACAGACTAACCTTGACAGCTGGTTGGCAGTCCAGGAGAGTCTGGAGATGAGCAGAGACCCCAATGCATAGAATTGTTGAGGTTGGAAAAGCCCTCTAAGGCCATCAAGTCCCAACTGCTCCATCAGCACTGCCAAGGCCACCACTGTCCCCACATGGCTTTTAAATCCCTCCAGGGATGGGGACTCCTCCCCTGCTGGGGCTGGACAACCCTTTCAGTGAAGAAATTTCTCCCAATATCCAACCTAAACCTCCCCTTGGTACAAATTAAATCCAGTTCCTCTCATCCTGTCACTTGTAACCCAGGTGAAGAAACCAACCCCCCCCTCCCCAGCTCCACCCTCCTGTCAGGGCGTTGTGGAGAGCGACGAGGCCCCCCCTGAGCCTCCTTGCTCCCGGTGCTCCCGGTGGGAGCAACAGCTCCGTAGCTGTTCACCTGTGATTGTTCCTATCCAAAGCTTCCAGGTGTGACCTGGCCTTTCTCCCCATTCCAGAAAAAGGCTGTTCCAGGGGGAGTGCCTAAGGCAAAGCTGGAAGCAGCTGCGAGAGCGGCCGCCCGGAGCCGCCTGGCCTCTGTCAAGGCAGCCATGAGGGAGAAGATGAAGTGTGAGGGAGCTGCTGACGGCGCAGGTCAGCAGGCGCTGCCACAAACAGAGAAAGTGGTTTTTGAAGCGGGATTTTTCAGAATCGAAAGCCCTGTGAAAAACTTTGCAGGTGGGTAAAACTTAATCGTGATTTCTGCGATACCTGAAAGTACTGGAGAGGGTTTAATGCATTTCAGTGGGGAGAGGAATTGGGCTGTTTATGCTGGATACAAGTCCAGTGGGGACGCAGGATTTCCAGTGCTGGACACAGTGTTTCAGCCAGTGACTAAATTACATCAGGGCTCCAAAGTAAATTGTTGGACATGAATGTGCTGATTTGAGTGGTTATGGCAGCATGAAATCCCTGCTTAGAGAGAGAGAGAGGTGAAATAGCTGGTTCATGTTTTTCCAGCAGAAGTTTAATAATGAAATTGTAATCTCAGTGTTCCCAGGTTCAGCTGACAAACCCTCCTCATCAAAGTCAGTGCCAGCTGATGTCCTCTAATTGTAAGACAGGAATTGGGATCTTTTATTTTTAACTAAACCTCTTGCAGTGCTGTCTTCAGAGCTGCAAATAAAGTCTACCCATAATCTGTGTTCATGGTTAACAAGATTGTAACATAATCCAGTTTGCTATAAAAGCTGTTTAATAGTTTGGGGGTTTTAACAGGTGCTCAAAATATAACTTCATTTTAAGTGTCTTATTGACATCTATGTACAGCCAGTATTTCCAGTAAATCTGGACTCCTTGGGAGCCATTCTGCTTCTCTCCCATTTCTAGTTCCTAATTTGACTTTAAATTCCCCCCCTTTTTTTTTATTTTGTGCAGATCTCACTTCTCATCAGACAACTGGCAATTTCTTTTGTGTACCCCTTGTCAGTAGAGAACTCCTGAAAGGCTTTGAGCAACACTGGCTTTAAGCAAACTCCAGCAGATAATCTGTTATAAACATCAGTTCTGAATCTGTGTCTTTTCAATTCTATTAAAATCACCTGATTTGAAAGGTGGAAGTTAATAATTTCCATTTCTCCTCGCAGGGTGTAGAAGATTTCAATATAATATTTACATAAGGCAATTCAGCAAGCAGAAAACAATCGTGTTTCTGGCTGGAATCATAATGATCAGTTCATTTCAGCTTCTGGAAACTGCTGTGATAATGAAAAATTAAACACATTTTTTTCAGGCTTGCTTTCAAAGACCCCTCACAGATCTTCCCAGAGGACTCCTGGAAAACAAACAACTCTGAGATCATCCCGTAGAACTTTGCTTCCAAACGCTCCTTCTGCTCTCCCTGACCCCAAGGATCCACCTGCAAAACAAACACCATTTGCACAGAATCTGAAAATGGACCAGTTTCCCTCTGCAAAAACTCCCCCACTGGATAAACTCCCCAATGGTGTTCTTGAACAAAGGTAGGCATGTGAAGGCAGCTTTTAATTAACCTTGTACAAATAATTTTACAGTTTTGGGCTGAAAGACACAATATTAATACCCGTTAAATGTTACCTTCCAATTTGGCAGTGATGAAGGTTGCAGAGTCCCTGTGACTTTTCCTTCCCTTAAGCAAATATTAAGAGTAATTTTGCTGCTGGGGTAGAAGTTTATTGTTTGCCCAGAAAGTCTGATATAACTCACCAGTGCCAGCCATGCCAAGCATAACTGCAGAACAAATTGTAATATCAGGTGGGCGAGTCAAAAGATGGTTGAAGGTGATTGATGAAGATGATTGGGGAGAATGAAAATATTTTGGTTTCTCTTCCAGCATTTCCATGGTTGCAGAAGCAGAAATCTGTCCTGTTGCCAGCAGAGCAGAGGGAAATGAGGTAAGTCATGCATAGCTCATGTACGTGCTTTAAATACTCTGTTATTACCAGCAAAGAAATAAAGTTCTTTTGATTATCCCCGAGCAGTGTCAAGTCCACTACCCATGTTCTGGTGTGGATTTTGTAAATGCTTTTGCACTTGGGGACCGTGACTAAACACAGCAGCACTCTCGGTCCTCATGCTGCCATGGCACAGTTATTCTCTTTTAAATTGTAGTAAGAACTGTGTTGCTGATCCAAGGATCAGAAATCCCTGTTCTGAAGTGTCTTGAGGACTTGGTGATGTTGTCTGCATTTAAATAGCTTTAAAAAATTAAAAAAAAAAAAAAAAACACGAATGCAACCTCCATAGTTTATGTGACACTGTGCTACTCAGTGAAAGCCAGTGCTTTGGAGTTAATCATCCTTTACTACCTTCCACTGGAAATAAAACATCTTATTTTTATTTGTCCCTGCTTGGATCTGTGCATGACTGCAGCAGTCATTTCCCCTCCCATCCCCATATATATATAATATCTATATATTTATATAAAAATCTTACTCACTAATTTTTTTCTTATGCATTTACTTCATCTTTTCCCTGTCAAATGAGAAACTGCTTGTTGATGATGTCACTCTCTGGGGAGTCAGCATTGCTGGTAGGTTTTCCTTGAGGGAAAAGCCTCACCAGAGAACATCCTCACAATGTTTTTGGCACTTGGAAGTTCAGGATCTTCTTCCCTGTGGAAAAGCTTCCTTATACTTCTGAAGGGATTTTCAGGCTTGGGAAACAGTTCATGTGAAATGGATCCCCTGCCTGTGCTTTGTGAAGTCTCTGGAGTTAAAACTCCATCTCTCCTGAATTGTCCACAAAACCTGTGGATAAGAAGTGTGGATTTGTTCTGATGTAATAATGCCATGTCTTGGACAGTGAAAATCCCTGTTTTTCAGGTGCTGGAAAATTCCAGCGGTGAATCCAAAGCACTGGGTGGCCTGGAAGAGATGGAACTCTCTGCTGCAGAGCAAGGACAAGATGTTGTCATGTGCAGCCCAGAGAAGGATCCTGGCACAGAGGCAGACTCTGCTCAGCCTGGAGACCCAAAAATCCATCAGACAGGTGCATCCCTTAGAGCTGCAAAGTGTGGTTTGGCTGGGATTGCTGGGGGCCTTGTGGTTATTCTAAGGTTTTTAGGATAATCTAAATGTTACCTTGGAAATCACTGTCAGCTTGGTTTAGGTGTCCTGTTAGCAAAACCTCCCGTGGTTTCTTTTAAGATGCAGAAAACAACACTGGTTTTTTGGGTTTTTTTCAGCTCTGGCAGCATCAGACCATCTTCTTGTAAAAAATGAAATATTCTTATTTTTCAGATGTTTCATGTAGTGATTTGACCTCCAACGACAGGAATCCTTTTGATATGGTAAGTTGACCTTCAAGTTTATTTGACTAAGACAAGCTGCATGTTCCAGTGCTGTGTTAACCTTTGCTACAAGACTCGGTTACTGCATGAAGAAAATTAAACTCCTAAAGATGTTATCAAGGTAATTCATATAACTTTAAACACAAACCACAATCCAGCTGTCTCCCTGCTCACACTGAGACATTCCTTATTGCACATGATGAGTGTAGGATGAATCAAGACATTTATAACAGAATAACTTCCAATTCTTATCAGATTGATCCTTTAAATTATGTTTCTTGCAAATTTCCTTGTAGCTATTCATTAACATAATGAACAGACTGGTTTTCCTCCACTTTCCTCCTGGAATTTTTCAAGTCTGTCCCAACTCTCTCTTTTTAAATTACTTTAACATTTAGGGCTGGAAGTAAGATTCTACAGGGAGAGAGAAGTGTGCAAAGACTTTCAAAATGTTAATAGTATTTGGGAGTAGCATTTCTTGTGAAAAATCCTCTTTAAAATATGGATTAGTGATTTAAGTAAGGAGTGTCTTCAACACAGACCACGTGGATTCACTCCTTATGGTATGTCTTGAAATAAGCCTGTAAAATTCCTCATAGCAAAGTCAGGGTGCTTCCAGTGGATTCTGGCTGTTCTTCAAACACCGACTCCACACTCTGATTCCTCCCACAGCCCATGCTGGATGCTGAGCTTCCCTTCACTCCAGTCAAGACCAAAGCCCACAAGTTTGCAGCAGCTGAAGCCTTCAGTGACCTCATCGTGTTTTCTCCTGTTGTCCCCTCTGGGGATAAATGAAAAGTGACTTCAGATGCAAAATACGTACATTTTATAAGGGAGAAACCCCCAGGGGGTACCTGGAACACAGACTGCTACCCTGGAGCTGTGCTGGGAGTGAAGGGGTCATGGATACCACCTGTGGTCACGGATCTGATAACGGGTTTTGCAAGGTTTTGTGGTGCAGTTGTCGTTGTGCACCAAGCACTGCTGTGTGCTGGTAGCGGGCTGTGTTCTGGTGGTACCTGCTGCATCCCAGTGCTTGTAAATTCTGACTGCAACCTGAAACACTTTTATGTTGGTATCTTTTCATGTATTTCCTGTCTCCTTCAGGTTGTAAAACTCTTCCACTCTAAACTTTTATGTCCTGGCCTTACTTACCTCATGATTTGTTGTTATTACAAGGTGCCTACCAGACTGGCTGTGCCTGTGTCCTGTTCCTGATGGGGGGGCACCTTCTGGTGCCTGTTCCCTCCCCAAATTAGGGGAGCTCCAGGCTCTGTCCATGCTCTGAGGGTTCCACTGCACCCTCAGACTCCAGAGTTTGGTGTGGGAGCACCTGCCTCAGCACCAGCTCTGGTAGTGTTGGGTTCATGGTAATTCTTTCCTGGGGAGTTTTCCTACTGGCTTTGTAATATTAGAAACTATCTCAGAACAAGGATTTCACAGTCAGATAATACCTTGTCTTGGCAATGTATTGAAATGGATATTGTTTATGGTTTCCTCCAAGGACACAGTTTTCTAGTGAGTATCTTAAGTACCTTCAAACCAAACTGTATTTTCTCCTTGTTTTTGACACATTTAACCTCAGCCTCTTCTCTCCTCTTGTTCCTTGTGCATTCCCTACCCAGACTGTAACATATCTGTGCATAAGGAGCATGCCAGTTAAACAGACTTTGCATTTGAGGGGTAGTATTGAAATACCACCAGTTGTTGTATTTTTAACAAATACCTCACTGGGCTTCTTCTTGTAGAGGTGACCTTAGTGTAACACACACATTCTTCCACCCAGCCTTGATTCCAAACCAGGCAGAGATAATTCAACCCCTCACCAGAAAGGGGTTAGTCTGGCTTAAGTTTTAACCTGGAAGCTGTGTACTGATTACACTGGAATAAAGAGAGGAAGCTGATGTGTGCTGGAATCCACTTTTTTTTGAGTACTAAACTCCCATTTATACAGATAGTTTCAGGTAGCTCTTAATCTCATTCCAACCCCCTGCCATGGGCAGGGACACCTTCCACTGGACCAGGTTGCTCCAACCTGGGCTTGAACACTTCCAGGGCTGGGGCAGCCACAGCTTCTCTGTGCTGATGGCAGCAGATTGCTGCTCTAGGCTGCTGGATCTGCTGGAAATCTTAAGGACTCTGCTTGTGACTTGGCATCCCCAAGGATGAAAGAAGCAACTGTTATAAAACAGTACGAGACACGTGGAAGAGATCTTTGGAAACTTCAGCGGTGGCCGTTGTGCTGTTCTTGTTTTCCAGACAAGGCTGGAATGACTCACAGCAGAGGGAACATACTTCTGTTTTCTTTTTTTTTACCACCCTGACTCACGAGGCGAACTTGCCAATAGCCCTCCCCACCCTTGAAACCGGTCTTGACTCACACGGGGGTGATGAGCGGAGAGGGAGTGCAGGGCTCGTGACCCGCTCCGTGGAGTGCGTAACACTTGGAATCAGATCTCCCTCGGGAGGGAGGAGTACTTGGGATACCCTGGTTTGGGCCACCAGCTGTGCAGATGGGCCTTTGGGGCAGGGAAGAGTGACTTTTCCAGCCACAGTACTAGTGGAGAGATTTTCCCTCCTCCAGCTCTGAACCCCCTCCTGAAATACCTCCTTCTGCTCAGGCTCAGAAGCTCTCGAGTTATCCCCATTTTCCAGTCTTTCCTAGAGGATTTCTGCCCTAGTTCACAGGACAGAATGCCACAGGCTGCTTTCCCCAGTGCTCCTCTCCACAGAAACCAAACTGCTCCTTGTTGTTCCTCTGCCTCTACAGCAGGAATTCACCTCCTTCCCCCGTCACACTCGGCTTGCCCGGAGGGTGCCGCGTCTTTGGCGACCTCACTGAAAACAACCTTTACTTGTGAAAACGCTTTATTACCCCAAAAGCAGTCACGTGAGAAGGCACTTTTGTTACACCACCAGAAAGAGCACTGAGCTGACATGGAGCACTCCCCCCCTGGCTAAATCATGGTGGGCACGACGCTGGTGAGGGCGATGTCCCCGGCGATGCAGAGCTTGGTGACCTCCTTCAGCCTCTTCTCGCGGAAGTTGTACTGCAGCAGGTGGGCGTCGTTGACAGCCACCTTGAAGTGATCCGCCTCGCAGAGGATTTGCAGCTGAAATTAAAAGAGAAACAACTCACGTTGGATTTGTCCTAGGAGAGGTTTGAAGCCACAGGCTCGAGCGGGCTGGCGCTGGCTGGAAGCTGCTGCCAGCAGAGTCCAGCCCCGTGGCACGCGGAGGAGCTGGTGCGGCAACTCTCAGCTGCAACACCCGTGACCTTTGCCTTCCCCAAAACTCTGCTGTGCTCTGCCTCCTCCCATGTTTTAGCCCACTTTCTTCCTCCTCCTGACCACGCCAGTCACTCGAAGCAGAACTCAGAGTAAACCCACTCTGTGGGAGAAAAAGCTGCCAGCGGCGAAAACGCGTTATAGAAAACCTGTCCAGCAACTGCTGCAGAAAAACTGTACAGGAGGAGGATTTCCTAATCCACAGGAATAACAGAAGGGGATCAGGATGCTGGGAAGGTGCTGTAGGACCTGCTGTGCTGGACAGCCAGGGAAGCACACAGGGTGGCTGCCCCAGAGGCACCTCTGGGAGCTGATTCCTGCGCCAAAGCATCAAGGTCCTTACAGTGGATCTTGTTGCCCAAACCCTCCCGGAGCTACTGCCACACTGAGACTGAGCTGGGATGGGGGTTTTTGGTACCTTGAAGGGTTTTCCAGCTTCAAATGGAAACCTGGGAGCTGTCCTCTCCTCCTTCCCCCAGATTTCTTGGAACTTTGAATTGCAGACGATGACTTTCTTGTGGTCTTCGTTGAAGCGGGGGTTGAAGTGGAAGGCAACGTCATTCCCTCTCTTGAAATCCAGTGAAAACCTTCAAAGACAATAATGGACTCACTGCTTTTTCCACAAAAGCCCTGGGCTCTGTTACTGCTGGGCATCGACAGGGCATTTACACACCTATTTAGTGTAATATTTGATGTTCCACCAGACAGGTGTTACTCAGGAATGGAAAGCAACTTCCAGCCCCCCATGCTCCACCCAGCAGTGCTCCATGGAAAGACCTCCACCCCCAGTGCTGGACACCCCCAGTACCTGTTTGGCTTGGGATTCACAGTCCCAGTGATGGTGATGAGCAGCCGAGGGACGAGTCCTGCCTGCAGGGGCAGCTCGAAGGGGACTTTCTGGGAGACAACAGGGATTTGGTGTTAGCAAAATAACGTGCCAAAAGCCAAATCCCACCCCTGCCATCCCCCAGGGACTGCCAGCCCCAGGTCCTTCCCACGGCCAAGCAAAGTCAGGCAGTGAAGACAGAAACCTTTATAATATGATGGAGCCATTACCATTGGAGGAGCTGGTCCTCCCTGCGGAGGAGAAGGCCCAAATCCAGGGCCACTGGATGGTTGTCCTGGCGCAGGAACCGGCCCAGGTGCTGCTGGCGCTCCAGGGAAGGCTCCAGGTGCTCCCGGTGCTCCTGGATACGGTCCCTGTCCTGCTGGTCCTCCGGGATACGCTCCTGGTGCTCCGGGGTATGCTCCTGGTGCTCCAGGATATGGTCCTGGTGCTCCAGGGTATGCTCCCGGTGCTCCTGGATAGGCCCCTGGTGCTCCAGGATATGCTCCCGGTGCTCCAGGATAGGCCCCTGGTGCTCCAGGATAGGCCCCTGGTGCTCCGGGATACGCTGGGAATGCTCCAGGAGCCGGTGGTTGGTTCCCCCAGGCTGGGGCGGCACAGGGGGCTGGGTTGTTGCTGTTGGACAAGGCATCGGATAACTGTGGACAGAGGGGAGAGGAGCAGGGTTAGGTGGGGGAGATTCATCCTGGGATCGGGTTGAGTTCTCCAGGATCCATCCTTTTCAGCCTGCAGGATTTCCCAGGGCAAGAGCTCCGCTCTGAGCTGCTCCCCAGCTGAGCGCCTGGGCTGGGGTTTCCAGACACCAGTAAGTGCTGACGTAACTGCAGTGGGTTTTGGGATTTACACAGGTTAGCAAGGACACATTCCCATCCTTTCCAGAGGTTCCCACTTCGAGGCAATGCTCACAGGCCTCCCCCCCCTTTCTTTTTTTTTTCAAGAAATCCATACTCACGGAGAAACCGTCCGACATTTTTCCTGAAACGAAAAGACAGAGGTTGTTTCAGTCATTTTTAACAAGCACCATCCGGAGAGGAGAGATTTTTGAAGAGGCTTGCAGTTTACAGTGTTGGAAATTGCTACGTTCCCATCACGTACCTGCCTGTCAGAGCCGAGAGCTCCGGTGCCACAGGACAAATCCTGGTCGGATACCTGTGGGATAAATGGGGGTCACTGCTTTGAGCAGCCTGAACACCCAGGGGTGAATCCAGCCCAGACACCCTCGAGATGAAATCCACCCCTGGGCTTACAGCACTGCCAGTGTTATTCACTTCCCAGCCCTGAGGCACCATCCGGGAAAAGATTCCCACTAAAAAACAGAATCCCTGGCGGTGGGGAGTGAAGCAGGAAACAGGAGCTGTGTGGGGGCTAAAAATCCAGCACAGCACGTCAGGGACATGCAGCCACCCCTCAACAGGCAGGATGGAGGCGTGGAATGCTGAGAGGAGGGTGGCAACCTGGATACAGGTCCCCTTTCTCCTCCCATGCATTCCCAAATTTCTCCATACTGGCCCGAGGGCACACACTGGCCACTGCAGGCCGTGGGATAAAAGCTGCTTTACAAGTTTTATGAGTCCACACCACTGCAGGGCCAAACACACACCTGCCTGTGCCCAGGAATAGCCTGAGCTGGGTTCCTCCCATCAAAGGGAGCATTCATAGGAGAAGAGTGGGGGAAAAAAAAAAAAAAAGAGGGAGAGGCAGAAACAGGGAGAGAAAAGGAAAATTCCAAATTGAAAACAGAGAAGGCAAATTCTCTTCAAGAGTGACATTGGGATGCTCAAAGCTCACAGCAGATGTG